TTGGTCATCACCTCCACCTGGCCATTGTATTGCTTGACGCGATGAAACATGGCCTGTTGCTGAGCATATTCGGCCAGCACGGCGCTAATGTTGTCGCTGGGACCGGAGTGTAGACCAAGCAGTTTCACATATTCATAGCGCTTGTGCTTATTTAGCCAGTATAGTAGATAGTCGGCTATCAAGTCCTCGCCAACGATATGATCTGGCAGACAACCCACCAGTGCCAACTTCATGCCCATTTCATCATCTGCGATTGACGGTTGCAGTATACCGGGAGTGTCTATCATATAGACAGGTGGCTGTTCCTGGATTTTTATACGTTCACCAACGGATCGCGTTATACCGGCCTCAGCTCCAACGCGTGCCGCACTGCGTTTTTTGAGGTGCACATTTCGCAGTACATTAATGATGCTGCTCTTGCCCACATTAGGCACTCCAATTATCATAATATTGTGATCGGCACTTTGTGCTCTATTGAATCTACTACTCTCTCCCACTAGCTTGGTTGCCAGCGGCAATATGTCCAATACGCCAGTGTTACGCTGATCTTTGCAATTGGTAAAGAGAATATGTTTCAGCGCAGGCTGATGTGCACGAAGCTGCTTGAGTATACCACGTTGTTGCTTGCCTCCTAGGAGATCGATCTTATTCAATACTAATATATGGGGCTTTGTGCCATTGCCTATAGGAGGAGCAAACGGAATGTGTTTAATTTATTACGATTATTTGACAGATATTTGATTTGCCTACCCGTTATAGTATCAAAGAATTGTGAATTTCGACCGGCTATAGGAATTCGCGCGTCATGTATTTCAACAATGCAATCTACGTTACGTAGCCTTTGTTGTATTTGTCGCATACCCTTGGTCATGTGGCCGGGAAACCAGTTGACGCGCTGGTTTCGACTTGGTAAACGAAATACAGTCCGAAAAGGATTCACCACCGACATGTTTACGTTCTTAGCGGCAATAACAGCTGTTTGCTGTGACGTAACAGTTGTCCATTTAGCAATCGAGATTGGTATGCACGTGTGTTATCGATTAATACATTGCACTTGATTTTCGATATTTTAAATGGAAATTTGCAGCATTGAGGTGCTGATAATGAAAATATTTGCAAAAAGCAATTTGACCGATGTTAAAGAGCCGTTTTTTTTTATATTACAAATTTTTAAATATTATAACACGCAATTAAAAAGGTATTTGATTAACGCAATTTTATATATTGGTTAATAATATAATACTCATATAAATTAATGTTTTTCCACTTTGCAAATAATTGGACAGCACAAATCGGCATATCTCTTATCTTCCTTCAGATATCAGCAAAATATTTTTTGTTTGAAAACCAAACATGCATTCTATAAAGGCTGATGACTTAAGACTTGGTGAGGTAATATAAAAAGTCTACATCTGATTTAATAGATTTTTCATGCTTATTTCTGGAACTAGGTACTTGGGGAAGGAAATAACGGAAAAGTGTTTAAGGCTAGATGGCACACAAAAGATGTTGCTGTGAAGGAAATATTTGTACAAAATATAAACAAGTCTACTGATTACGAGATCAGAGAACTTTCACGCGCAAATCATGAAAATATCGTGTTTTTACATGGTACTGCAATCAAGGACAATACTCTTTACCTGGTAATGGAACTGGTGGATGGCGGATCTCTAGAAAATTTGATATATTCCGAACAGATAATATATGAGATAGCTCATGTTATAAACTGGGCTCTTCAGATAGCTAAGGTATATATTATAATATATTAAATAGTATACCTTGATTATATGAACATATATTAATTTATAGGGCATTCAATACATGCATTCCAAGAAGCTGATTCACCGTGATATTAGACCGTACCATATTTTGCTATGTGATAGTTATCGACATGTGAAGATTTGTGAATTTTCGTTCGCGAGATCCCTGAGTGCATCGATGACAAATAATAAGGGCACTGCTACTTATATGGCACCAGAGGTACCTATTCCACTTTCACACATTAAGAATCTAATATGTGCAATTTTATCATTTATAGGTTTTTATAGGTAAAAAATATACCGAGAAATGTGACGTTTACAGCTATGCAATAACTTTGTGGGAAATGTTATCGCGAGTTAAACCGTATAATAGCTATGACATGAACCTAAAAATATCCAAAGCAGTTCTAGATGGTATGGACTACGATACGATATAAAAAAGTCAAAATACAAAATATAATGACAATAAAATTACTTCGTTTTAGGCGAAAGACCTTCCTTGGATGATATAAATATTTCTTGTCCGGAAAAAATAAAGAAACTATTGACCAGCTGCTGGAGTGCCGATCCAAATGAACGTTATTCCATGACTCAAATTATTGATGTGCTAAGTGAATACCCTATAGTCGTTGAGCAGCTCAGCTTGCAAAAGAAAATGTCAACCCTGGAATGATGTGTACTTTGTTTTCGTACAATATTTTATTATACTCACATGTTCCTTTATTATTGAGTCATTATTTATTTACCTTTGACAATTATTCAACACAATATTTTCATAAGCTCAATGCATATATTCTCATTTTTTCTATTTTGAAATACAATTACACTAAAAAATTTGCGAAATGAGTAAAATTTCAATTAAATCAAATGTAAGCCAAGATGACTCTAGTAGTATCGATGTGGCATCCATATTTCCGAAAGCATTGCCAGAATTTAAAGTGGGGCCTATATATGATGAGTGCGGTTTTACGCTTAATGAGAGGTTGGCTTTAAGACAGGCCTGGAAACTAATTAAACCTTTCGAGCGTCGCTATGGAAAAGAAATTTACTTTGAGTAAGAAAAACCACTTAAAGATTTGCTTATCCAAATTAAAAAATAAAAATCTGCACTAATATCAATTCCGTAGATATCTGATGGAAAATTATAAAGTTACTGACAATTTTCGGATAAATGGTAAATTGGATATGCATCGTTTGCATGGACATAGTTTGGCTTTCATGCGCTATATAAATGCCGTAATCGAACAGAACGATCCGGTATTCTTTCAAAATATGCTCTTCGACAATCATAATATACACAGCCGTTGTCAGGTTTCTCTAATTCATATGAAGGTATAATTATTGTTCATTTGCTAGGAATTTCGGATTATATTAACCCATTTACAGATGCTGTTAGAAGATCTAATTCAATATGTGCTGGAAAAGCTGAAGGACGTTAGTTCGGCTTCGTTGGAGAGCGGCTTTCAACGGCTTTTGGAGAAGTTTCAGTTCGATCAGCCCGAAAAATCGAATAGTTTATTTAAGCGCGATGCAAGCGATGAAGAATAATAAATTATGAAATCACTCATACGCCTCATAGAACCGCAATTGATTTTCACTTAAATTCATATCCATCCGGGTTTTTAGCGCTCGATCAATCTGCAATAGATCCACATATATGCCATCATCCAGCAAACCGAGTGGCGGGTCGCCCAAGTCAATACAAAATAGCGCTATCGGCGGCGCATTGCCAACGCTGACGTCGCTGCCACTGCTGCTGTCGCTACTGCTGCCTCTGTGCCTCTGCTGCTGCTGCTTACGCTGCCGCTGCTGCGATATGTATCAATTGACGACGCGACATCGCAGTCGACGCTTTACGCGAGTCTTGGCTGCGTTTTCATTTAGCTCTGCCATTAAGCGCGTTTCCTTTGAGAAATTCAGTTTTGTTTGTGCGCTCAATGCGCCCATCCACACGTCTCGCTACTTAAAACGTTTCCCATTAAATTTGAGCTGAACAAAATCTAATTCGTTTAAAAAGAAGAAGAAAACAGCCAACTATCAAAACTTGCAAAAAAAATAACAAATAATAATAATATTTGAAATAAGTTCGTATACTTTACATTAACTATGGTCGCGACAGAGGATATTAAAAAGGTATGAGTAAATGTAAACTCAAAAGGATTTACAATTTAAATGTGAATATTTTTAGCCAAAAAAACAAGTTTTAGTTTTTTATCCATATGTTCAACATGTTAGGTAGTAACAAGCCTGTTTAAATAATGGTTTTTATCCATATGAATAGGTCACTTAAAAGTATGCTATGCTTAGCTCTGCTAAATTGACTGTATTAATGGAGTATGAAAACTGTTAAATAGTATTATTTTCCAAATAGTCTACAATCTATAAGCAAATTTATTACACAGATTACGTTAGATATCTTATCTTAAGCACTTCAACCAAATCGCCAAATCTAGGCTAGCAACTTGCGCCGAAAATTTCAAAATGTAATTTATAACGTCGAGCTATCAGATTTCATAAATTTTCAAAACGTCATCCAATACAAATTCCTAGGGCAATGAGTGCCCTACATTTCGTTTTATGTTTATTTTATAAGTATTTTTATTTCGTTTGCATTCTGTTCAGAGTCATGAAGGTATTACTAGCCTAGAAGCACCCTAGGTATAACTCACCTTTGAATACGTGTTTGCACATAATATTATTCCATAGATTATACTAAGGTACTGGGTATGCCACGGCTGGGCATACCCTTGCTTTAAACACTTTTATGATTCCCGAAACAAGAAAGGTTATCTCATGTGAAATAGAAGCACAATCAGAATGCGTGAGTTCACGTGTGAACTGACTGACTTTCGATAATGAATGATTCAAGACCTTTGATTATGACGATTGATTGATTATCGTACATTGTTCATTCATCGCTCAGCTTTGCATTTTTATTGATTTTCTAGTTACTGCTTTATCCTTTACTGCTAAAAGTAATTATGGCAAAACGTAATTATATTTTTGTCTGTGTGAAACTTTTGTCAAACATTTATTAATAACAAAATATTGTTTATTTTATCAACTTGTATGTTTACACTTTGCAGAGCTTTTGCTCTGGATCCTATCACTCGCTTGTTTATGTTTCCCGGACCGGACATTTTTATCTTGCTTATGGGAGCTGTCGAGCAATCTGCGAAGCAACAATAATATTTACATGTCCATTTAGGTCCATATCATGGCCAACGCACTTTCCATAAATAATGCATTTCTCAAATCTATATTATAGAATAGCGAATCATTATCGTTATACACGTTCACGCAGTTAAGAGAGTACATTGGTTTTTGTGGAATGCTCGATCTGTCCGTGCTTCTCATTCGCCGCTGAGTTACATATGCGAAATTTGAAAGGTGTGAAGGTTCAATTGATAAAGTATAGAAATATTTTTGTGTATGCCCCATGGGAAATAGCTGATTTTGTATAAAAGACTTATCAATTTTATATGTGAACGCCCAAAATTTTACACACATCAAAAGAAATTTAGCTTGGATTATATACGCTGGCCTATCACCAGTAGATCTTACAAGCCCACGCAAACAGACGTTTACATACTTACATACACATGCACAAATGTACATACTTACATACACAATTGCAAACGTCACATACATATATTGCTTAAAAATGCCATCTAGCAATAAAAAGTTGTTTTTGTTTTATGAAATAAATTCTAAGTGATTGTATGCTTGCGTTCGATTATCTGGTACACACCTTCAGGTAAAACTGCAGTTGAATTTCTAATTGACTCTCTGCCCGTCAATGCAAATAGAAACGTATTTTTTTACGACATTCCTAATCGTCATTCCCCACAGAGCCACTGGGCGCTCATACAATAAATTGCAAAGCAAGCCCTTCCTGAGCGCACGAAAGCAAACGACGACGAGCCTTCGTTGCGTCTTCGTGCGCACGAGGCGCATCGGCGCCAAGAGCACGGCCGATTGCCGACTGCGCTATGTCGCTGTGGATGTCGATGCCGATGCCGATGCCGATGCTGCTGCTGTTGCTGCCAACGATTGCACTTGACATTGGGCCATCGGTAAAGGGGAATCGGCAAAATGTAAACAGAGCAAAGCAAACAGCGCAAAACTAATTAGCATGTGATGCGCCTCTTTTGCCTAGTGGTGGGTGGGTGTGTCTGACTCTTTGCTCGGCAAATGCATAGGCTCTACCCCTCAAACACACACTCACTCTCTCTCTCTCTCTCTCGCTCGCTCCTTCTATTGCTGAGCGACCTGTTGTTGTCATTATGGCGACAGGTTTATTTGGCATTTGAATTGCAATTGACGCCATTAAATGCAATTACGTTTGCGTAGTATAAGTATTTTCTAATTAAAAATTCAGTTTTGATAACAGCTGAAGTGTTCGTTTGCATTCCTGAAAAGGATTTCAATTTAACACTTAGATAGTTATTTATTTTTTTATATTTCTGGTATGGCTGAAAAAAATGATTTGTTTTCAATTTTGTATTTTGTACTCAGCTATTAAGCGGATCTGCTCAAAACAAATTCTAATTATGTATTCACATACGTATTTTCCACTATTTATACAGGCATACATGTATTTGTGCATGTATGTGTGTATGCACATGTAAGTTTAAGTGTATGATTTCAAATGCTTTTACCTGACGCATTTGGTTGTCGTCGAATGCATTTTTGGCAAGTGCAACAGCAACGCAATTTTTTATAGAGCTTACAGGAAGTGTTTGTTTGCTTGGACTAAGCGACGTATGCGTAACATTTCTCTGAGCATATGTTTATTATGAAATCGTTTAGAATTTTTTTGAATTTTTTTTGTTTGTTTTGCAGCTGCGGCAATAAAAGATTTATGAATATTTATTATTTTAGACATGATGATTTATGACCGAGGGAACTTCGTAGTTGCTTTTACTTTTGCTTTCTTAAACTACGAATTCTCTCTTTTATCTTACACCTTTGGACTCCCAAAGAATATAGACGATGCACTGTTCTGTTGTGTCTGACGTCAAATTTTAAATGTACTGCACTTTTGTTGGCAAAACAATGCAAAATAAATATTTTTTTTTGCAACAAATATGAAATACACTGTCTAAAAGCAAAAAATATATGTTCATCAATTTTTAAAATTAAATATATTTCCTAGTAAATAAAGTAAGTTTAGTAAAGTCAAACTTAGTTATTATTAACAATAGTAATACACTTATGTCTAATCTCTCTGTTTTCCCGCACCAACTTTTATCTTAAAACCAAATGAATTGAATTGTTTGCGTGTTACATATATGCTCATTAAGAGCAGATGCCTTGGCATCTTTAGGGTAGCAGCAAAAATAGAAGCCCCGCAAATACCTCAAGAAACGAGAAGAAAATTCGCTTTTCGAAGAGTCGCCGAAACAGTCTTCTCCAACTGTGTTGACCGTACGGACCAAAACACTCGAGACGAGGCGTCAACTAAATTTAGCGAAAAAGACATTTCGATGCGGATATCTATAGAAAAGTTTAAATGAAATTAATGCACAAATATCAAAAAAGAATAC